GCAGACAGGGGATGGTCTGCATGTGACCTGCAGGTCATGTGCCCGTGGAGAACGTCCTGTCTCCCATCCACACTGATGGCTCCTCACACGCCTGCCCCTCCTGCCTGCTCTCTGGGACCATCAAACTCTTAGGTTCATTCATCTTTTATACCATGATGGTCACCTTCTCCCGAGAGATAAAGGAGGATGGAGCTGGTACACGGATGAGCGCTGGGGAAATTGTAACTATTAACTGTGCTCCTAGTCCAGCAAGAAATTGCGCCCCGCTCTGGTTGAGAGGAGATTGCACCTGACTGTTGCCTGTGACTGGATTCAGGCTCTCTGAGCTCAGGTGAGTTGGTTTGGTCTGACAGGTGGGAACACAGAGGCAGAGGCAGAGGCCACATCTAGTCTCCCTCCAGCTGACGGGCATGAAGAGGCCTGAAGGTCAAAGTCTGCCTGAAAGCTGAGAACATGTGCTTTGGACAACGTGTTTCTCAAACTGGGTGATTTGGCACCCCCAGGGGCTGATTGGAGACGTCAGGGGGTGTTTCCCTGGGTGAGAGCCTAGAGAAGAGGGTGCTGCTGCCTCTCCCAGGTGGGGCCCAGAGGAAGCTTCCAGAAGTCCCACATGGGCAGAGCAACCCCTTCCCAGGCCTCGCCCCCACCCCATTCAGAAGTGCACAGGCCCAGCTGCCCACAGGGAGGACTGCAAAGGACACAGGGCGCCATTCCTCAGGTCAGGGGGAGAATGAATGACACAGAGGGCCTCAGAGCCTCCATCTCAGCACAGGCCTTCCAGCAGGAGGCAGCAGAGAGCGCCCCCTGGAGGGGCAGGTGAAGCCAGCCCCAGGGTGGAGGCTCTGGAGGTTTTTGTCTCACTTCCCCATGGGCCTGAATCACTGTGCTAAAGCAGACTGACAGTAGTAGTCGGCCTCATCCTCGGGCTGCAGCCCCGAGATGGTCAGGTGGGCGGCATTGGAGGAGCTGTCGATGGAGCCAGAGAACCGGCCTGGGACCCCGGAGGGTCTTTGGTCATCTTCATAGATCACCAGGGTGGGGGCACTGCCCGGGCACTGCTGGTACCAGTGCACATAGTTGCTTCCAATGTTGCCGCTGCTGCGGGTGCAGGAGATGACGGCCTTCTGTCCCGGAGACCCCGACACGGAGGGTGGCTGAGTAAACACAACATCTGCCCAGGACCCTGCAAGGAGGGGGACACAGGCATCAGAAGGGCCGGCACAGACCCGGGCCCAGGAAGGGAGGTCAGGGGAAGCTCCCAGGGGACACACCTGTGCAGTGAGCCAGGAGGGCGAGGAGAAGGGGAGCCAGCTCCATGGTGGACGCGCCCCACACTCTGCTTCCTGAGCCCACAACCAGGCCTGAGCCCGCACCTTCTTATAGGCCTGACCCCGAGGGGAGGCCTATGCAAATCCTCTCCCCCCTTTTCCCGCCCTGTCTGCAGCTGCTCAGGCTCCTCCTTCACACTTGGCCTTGGTTCCACCAGAGAAGAGACAGAGATGGGACCTCATTGCCTCAGAAGACCTGCCTGAGGCTGGGGGCGGGGCGGGGAGGGGCACAGCTGAGCAGCAGGGAGCAGCCAGCAGGGACTTCCACCACAGCGCCTCCTGGGGGACACAGGGCGCATGTCAGTCAGCCCTTGGGGAGGGAAAAGGGAGCCTGAGGAGGAGAGGGGTGCAGGCCAGGCACCCATCCGGTGCCAAGGGTGGTCTGGGGCTGTCCTGCCCCCCACCCCCTGGAAGCCGTGCCCACTAACGGGCTGGACACGGAGGTCTGGCCCCACTTTCTTCTGGCCGCACCTCTCCCTGCGCAGGGATTGGGGGCCAGTGCTCCGTCTCTTGGGGTGGAGGGGGCGCACAGCAGTCCCCCTGTCCCCTGGGAGCTGCCTGGGAGTGGCAGCGGCCGGGCCAGCGCCTGGGGGAAGGCGGGAGCAGGCGCTTGTGCTCAGAAGGCTCAGGGCCAGCACCTCCCTCTGTGAGCACAGAGCCCAGTCCCCGCTCAGTGGTGTCCTCACCGTCCCCACAGGGGGCCTTTCTCACCCCTACATGGCCGCCGGCTTCTGCCTCCCCGGCCCCCATCCGGCTCTGGCCTTCTCCATGGCTCTGACGTTGTCCTCTGACCGGGCCGCAGACTGATACAGGGACTGACACCTGGGGTGGCGGGTCCTGGGCCACCTCCAAAGGGACCCAGACCGAAGTGTGTGGGTGTGTGTGTGGATGCTCCCCGAGGACATTTTCCCACGAGTTGTTAGGGAGCGTGGAAGGGAGAGGGAGAGACAGAGAGAAACTTCGATGGGAGAGAAATGTACCAACTGGTTGCCTCCTGCACTTGGCCCGACCATGACCCAGCTCAAGGAGGGGCCTGCAAAGGAGGTGCATGCCCGGGACCAGAATCGAACCCAGGATCCTTCACTCCGCAGGGTCTATCCACTGAACCACAATGGCTAGGGACTAATGTGACTAATATTAATACATTTAATGTGGTGTGGATACTGATACCTCATAGGGGAATAATTCCATCAATAAATAGGAAGCAGGTGGATCGATGCTGAGAAGTGAACTATGGCCTGAGAAAGCCTCCATTTAGGAGGGACAGGGAGTGATAAGGGCTGGTTATTCAAGGCAACGTTACCTCTGCTTTCCTTTTCTCTTTACCTTAAATATTTCTTAACTTTTCAATGACAGCAGGAACTTGTCAGGGTTCCCTAATCGCTCCCATGGGGACGGAGCTAAGAGCTGAGGAGCCCAAGGGAGTGAGAGAGGAGGGGAGGGAGGGAGCCCAAGGAAGTGAGAGAGGAGGGGAGGGAGGCAGCAGCAGAGGAGGGAGGAGAGCAGGGAGAGGTGACAAAGAGTCTGTTCTGGTGGGGACCCACCTTCTGTGGTTTGTTCAGAGAAGGAGGAGGCTGTGTCCATGACCAAGGGGAACATGCACATATCACATGTGATGGGTCAGGAGTCACACAGGGTCACACACGGGACACGAATGTGTGGGGAGCATGGCTGTCTGGGGGACCCTGTGTGGGTGCAGACACAGTGACCAGAGTTTACGTGCATGGGAACACCTGGGCAGCTGTGGCCGCTGCAGTGGGGTGATGGGGGTGACGTCTACCGGCCAGTCACCACACACAGGGGGGTACCAGCCTGCGGCCGGGCTCGTTGTCCACAGGGAGCAGGGCAAACTGCCAGGAGGTCATCCCTGAGAGCTCCTGACTTTTATCACGTGTGTGGTGATCGGCATAGCTGTGTCCTGTGTTTCTTGTTAGGATATTCTCAGGTTTCCTATAACGTTTGTTGTTGTTGTTGTTTATAGATATAAAAAGGTAATATGCTAATTAGCCTGACACCTTAACAGACAAGTCCAGGCACAAGGAGGCTTCCTGGGCAGGTGAGGTGAAGAGTGGACTCGGACAGGGGCCTGGTAATGCTCCAGCCACGGCGCACCGGCTGTCCCCCCTCTGCCCGGGAGCTCAAGAGGAAACTCCTGACTTCACCGCTCATTGGCTCAGCTCCCGGTACTCCTCTCACAGTGCTCTTGGTAACTAGGGTGGGAAGAATCCAAGAAGGTGATCTCAGCTTATTCCCCCTCACTCCTGGAGGAAAAAGCAAAGGACTACTGCTGGAGGGGCTAAGAAATGTCACATCCTGCCCTAGCCGGTTTAGCTCCATGGATAGAGCCTCAGCCTGCCGACCACAGGATCTGGTTGGATTCTGATCAAGGGCATGTACCTACGTTGCAGGCCCCTCCCTGGCCGAGGCCCCAGGTCAGGGCTCCTGAGGAGGCACCAATCGAATTGTCTCTCTGACATTGTGTCTCTCTCTGTCTTTCCCTCTCTCTTCCCTGCTTTCTAAAAACCAATGGAAACGTATCCTCAGGTAAGGATAATTAAAAACAATAAAGAACGGGCATATCCTACAAAAGAGACATGTTGAAAAGGCCTGAAGAAAGTGGACATTTTACCACGCTGAAGGGACCAGAGTTTACGTGCATGGGAACAACTGGGCAGCTGTGGCCGCTGCAGTGGGGTGATGGGGGTGACGTCTACCGGCCAGTCACCACACACAGCGGGGAACCAGCCTAGGCCTGGCTCGTTGTCCACAGGGAGCAGGGCAAACTGCCAGGAGGTCATCCCTGAGAGCTCCTGGATTGGAGAGGGTGCAGGCTAGGCTCAAGGTACCACCCCTCCCCATGCACGAATTTCATGCACCAGCACTTTAGGGTTTTAAATAAAACTTTACCTGCCTGTACGTTCTGACTCATTATCATATTTTGTGACAAATGTGAGATTGTGCTGTGTGTGCACACTCTGGGACCGTCTGGGCATTGAATGCAGAGACCCTCACGTCCTCACTGAATGAAAACCACAGAAGGAACTTGTCACTGTTCCCTGAAGCCTTCCCGTGGAGACGGGGCTAAGAGCTGAGGAGCTTGAGGGAGGGAGAGAGGAGGGGAGGGAGGCAGCAGCAGAGGAGGGAGGAGGGCAGGGAGGCGTGACCATAAATGATATCCAATGGGTTGTGTGAATCCTGGGACCTCCTGCCTGTGATTGGCCCCTGACCAGCGGGAATCAGGGGGACTGGCCCTTTAACTGCGGGTTTGACACCCTCTCTGGCAGCTGGGGTGAGCACTGAGTGCTGTTGGGGGACATCAGCTGGGGTCAGAGAACTGCTGTCGGGGAGCCACTCCCTACACATTGGGGCCCAGAAGGGCCAGGAGGGAAGAGCTCTGGGGAAGCAGCAGCACACACACAGGAGGGAGGAGCAGAGACTCCGACCCAAAATGTTCCTTCTTAGAATCCCCGGACACGGGGTGGTGGGCGGGGCCCCTGACCTCCCGTGTGCACCTGGGACGCCTGTGCTGCTGCTCCATCAAGTGTGACCTCCCTCCTCCCGGGACACAGGTCCCTGCAGGGGAGCCACCGACAGAGGCCTCAGACGCTCCTCGCTGCAGGAGGCTCCGAGCCCCCGCCTCAGGGCCAGGGTTTTGGTCTCACTTCCTCGCCCTCAGAGACACTGTGGGTAACGGTAGCTGCTTCCACTGCCAACAGGAGTAGCGCAGTAATAGTGAGCCTCATCCTCAGGCTGCAGCCCCGAGATGGTCAGGAGCCCTGCTTTGGCCGAATCATCATTGGATCCAGAGAAACGGCTGGGGACCCCGGACCCTTGATACTTCTCTGAGTCTGACTTATATTGCAGGAGAAACTGGGGAGGGCTCCCTGGCTTCTGCTGGATCCACGTTATCCAGTAATCACTAATAGGATAGGAACCAGTACCACTTAAGGTGCAGGTGAGTCTGACTGTGGCTCCAGGAGATGCAGAGAGGGAGGCCGGCTGGGTCATGGCAAACTGGGAGAGGGACCCTGCAGACACATACAATTGTCAGTGAGGGGCAGGGACCAGGGGCAGGTTCCCAGGAGAACCAGCAGGAAGGGAAAAGCCTGGGCCCAGACCTGGCCCTACCTGTGCAGAGAGAGAGGAGCGCCAGGAGCAGAGGAGTCCAGGCCATGGTGCTCACAGCCCTGAGCCCACAGTGGGGCCGGGCTGCCCAGGCCTCCTTTTCTCCCCCGCCCTCTGCCAGGGGAGGGGCTGCCATGCAAATGGGGGTCCCTCCAGGGACTGCCCAGCCCCTCCCTGGGCCCTGGGGCTGCAGCTCAGCTCACACCCCAGACTGAGGGGCAGGGAGGTGGGCTCAGCCCCTGGGGGGCCCTGGGAGGAAGCACCTGCTGAGACACCACATCACTGAGCACAGGGCCCAGCCTCCTATTAAAGTCCTTAATGTGCAGCTGCATTGGGACCACAGGGCGGTCCCACAGCGCCCCCTCTTGGTGGTAGCAAACACCTGCACTTGGCCCAATGCCCTGAGAGCCCAGCTGGACCTGCAGCTCAGAGGGGACTGTCTGTGGCCACACTCCCTGCCCGGGTCCCAGGTCCTGTGCCTGATGCCTGGAGCGCTCCCTGCAGCCTCCCTCCCAGGAGGAGCCCCGCCTGTGGGAGGCGCCATCAGGTCCACCAAGGACACATGGATGTGGCTTCCCCTCCCGGGAAGATGGTGCACAAGTGAATGCACAGGGATCCTCCTGTCCCACGTCACAGCCCAGGGACCCCTCCCTCTGGAGACCGGGCCTCAGAGGGCTGCTCCCGGGAGCAGACTCAGGACCAAGGTCCAAGGAGGAGGTCTCACCAGACCTTCCACGTCTTGAGGGGCACGTGCAGGCTCACAGAGATCTGATGGGACGGACCCATAAGCATCATGGCGTTTGCAGGCTTCCCGTCGGCCAGTGGGAGGAGCCACAGCTCATTCATCCAGGAATTAACCTTCGTCACGTGTGTGGTGATCTGCACAGCTGTGTCCTGTGTTTCTTATTGGGATTTTCTCAGCTGTTGACATTTGTTTATATTTTACTTAAAACTTTACCTCCTGTGCTTTCTGACTCGTCCTATTTTGTGAAAAGTGGGAGAATTTGCTGTGTGTAGACACCCTTTCTGACTGGACAGGTGAATACAGACACCATCACATCCTCACTGAATGGAAACCCAGCGGGAACTTGTCACTTTTCTCTGAATCCTCATGAAGGATGAACTCTGACCTAAGACCTGAGGATGCGGAGGGAGAGAGGAGGGGAGGGAGGCAGCAGCAGAGGAGGGAGGAGGGCAGGGAGGGGGGACTGAGAGTCTGTGCTGGTGGGGACCAACCTTCTGTGGTTTGTTCAGAGAAGGAGGAGGCTGTGTCCATGACCAAGGGGAACACGCACATATCACATGTGATGGGTCAGGAATCACACAGGTCACATACGTGACATGAATGTGTGGGGAGCGTGGCTGTCTGGGGGTCCCTGTGTGGGTGCAGACACAGTGTGTGAGATGACAGGAAACACACGCTGGTCTCGGACCCTGGCCCGGCACAGGCTCCTGATACCCTTGTCACTCCCTGGTTGGCAGGCCGGCCTGTGGCTGATGAGGGGGCGCTGGGCGGGCTCCTGGGTGAGGACGGGCCACGGGAGAGGCCGGGAGGATGAGAAGCTGGGGAGCCCCTCACCTGCACCCCGTTCCATTAAAGGGGAGAGGGCTCAGGTGCAGTTAGCAAATTCTTAGAATGCAGGAAGGGAATTATGGGAACCATAATTGATATCCAAGGAGTTTTGTGAATCCTGGGACCTCTCAGCTGTGATGGGCACCTGACCTGCAGGCATCAGGGGGACTGGCCCTTTAACTGCGGGTCTGACACCCTCTCTGGGCAGATGGGTGAGCACTGAGTGCTGTTGGGGGACACCAGCTGGGGTCAGAGAACTGCTGTCGGGGAGCCACTCCCTACACATTGGGGCCCAGAAGGGCCAGGAGGGAAGAGCTCTGGGGAAGCAGCAGACACACACACAGGAGGGAGGAGCAGAGACTCTGACCCAAAATGTTCCTTCTTAGAATCCCCGACAGGGGGTGGTGGGCGGGGCCCCTGACCTCCCGTGTGCTCCTGGGACGCCTGTGCTTCTGCTCCATCGAGTGTGACCTCCCTATTTCCGGGACACAGGTCCCTGCAGGGGAGCCACCGACAGAGGCCCCATAAGCTCCTGGCTGCAGGAGGCTCTGAGCCCCCGCCTCGGGGCCAGGGTTTTGGTCTCACTTCCTCGTCCTCTGAGACACTGTGGGTAACGGGAGCTGCTTCCACTGCCAACAAGAGTGGTGCAATAATAGTGAGCCTCATCCTCAGGCTGCAGCCCCGAGATGGTCAGGAGCCCTGCTTTGGCCGAATCATCATTGGATCCAGAGAAACGGCTGGGGACCCCGGACCCTTGATACTTCACTGAGTCTGACTTATATTGCAGGAGAAACTGGGGAGGGCTCCCTGGCTTCTGCTGGATCCACGTTATCCAGTAATCACTAATAGGATTGGAACCAGTACCACTTAAGGTGCAGGTGAGTCTGACTGTGGCTCCAGGAGATGCAGAGAGGGAGGCCGGCTGGGTCATGGCAAACTGGGAGAGGGACCCTGCAGACACATACAATTGTCAGTGAGGGGCAGGGACCAGGGGCAGGTTCCCAGGAGAACCAGCAGGAAGGGAAAAGCCTGGGCCCAGACCTGGCCCTACCTGTGCAGAGAGAGAGGAGCGCCAGGAGCAGAGGAGTCCAGGCCATGGTGCTCACAGCCCTGAGCCCACAGTGGGGCCGGGCTGCCCAGGCCTCCATTTCTTCCCAGCCCTCTGCCAGGGGAGGGGCTGCCATGCAAATGGGGGTCCCTCCAGGGACTGCCCAGCCCCTCCCTGGGCCCTGGGGCTGCAGCTCAGCTCACACCCCAGACTGAGGGGCAGGGAGGTGGGCTCAGCCCCTGGGGGGCCCTGGGAGGAAGCACCTGCTGAGACACCACATCACTGAGCACAGGGCCCAGCCTCCTATTAAAGTCCTTAATGTGCAGCTGCATTGGGACCACAGAGCGGTCCCACAACGCCCCCTCTTGGGGGTAGCAAACACCTGCACTTGGCCCAATGCCCTGAGAGCCCAGCTGGACCTGCAGCTCAGAGGGGACTGTCTGTGGCCACACTCCCTGCCCGGGTCCCAGGTCCTGTGCCTGATGCCTGGAGCGCTCCCTGCAGCCTCCCTCCCAGGAGGAGCCCCGCCTGTGGGAGGCGCCATCAGGTCCACCAAGGACACATGGATGTGGCTTCCCCTCCCGGGAAGATGGTGCACAAGTGAATGCACAGGGACCCTCCTGTCCCACGTCACAGCCCAGGGACCCCTCCCTCTGGAGACCGGGCCTCAGAGGACTGCTCCCGGGAGCAGACTCAGGACCAAGGTCCAAGGAGGAGGTCTCACCAGACCTTCCACGTCTTGAGGGGCACGTGCAGGCTCACAGAGATCTGATGGGACGGACCCATAAGCATCATGGCGTTTGCAGGCTTCCCGTCGGCCAGTGGGAGGAGCCACAGCTCATTCATCCAGGAATTAACCTTCGTCACGTGTGTGGTGATCTGCACAGCTGTGTCCTGTGTTTCTTATTGGGATTTTCTCAGCTGTTGACATTTGTTTATATTTTACTTAAAACTTTACCTCCTGTGCTTTCTGACTCGTCCTATTTTCGTGAAAAGTGGGAGAATTTGCTGTGTGTAGACACCCTTTCTGACTGGACAGGTGAATACAGACACCAGCACATCCTCACTGAATGGAAACCCTGCGGGAACTTGTCACTTTTCTCTGAATCCTCATGAAGGATGAACTCTGACCTAAGACCTGAGGATGCGGAGGGAGAGAGGAGGGGAGGGAGGCAGCAGCAGAGGAGGGAGGAGGGCAGGGAGGGGGGACTGAGAGTCTGTGCTGGTGGGGACCAACCTTCTGTGGTTTGTTCAGAGAAGGAGGAGGCTGTGTCCATCACCAGGAGGAACATGAACATGTCACATATGATGGGTCAGGAGTCACACAGGGTCACACACGGGACAGGAATGTGTGGGGAGCATGGCTGTCTGGGGGACCCTGTGTGGGTGCAGACACAGTGCGTGACATGACAGTAAACACACGCTGGTCTCCGTCCCTGGCCCCGGCACAGGCTCCTGAGACCCTTGTCACTCCCTGGGGGGCGGGCAGGCCTGTGCCCGATGAGGGGGAGCTGGGCGGGCTCCCTTTGACTGACACCCAAGGGCAGACAGTCATCATCTCTGGGCCAGGGGTTTTGGTCTCACTTCCTCGTCCTCTGAGGCACTGTGGGTAACGGTAGCTGCTGCCACTGCCATGATCTGTAGCGCAGTAATAGTGAGCCTCATCCTCGGGCTGCAGCCCCGAGATGGTCAGGAGCCCTGCATTGGCCGAGGCGTCTTTGGATCCAGAGAAGCGGCTGGGGACCCCGGAGCCCTGGCCCTTATTAGAGTCTGTGTAGTAATTCAGGAGATACCGGGGAGGGCTCCCTGGCTTCTGCTGATACCAGTATATCCTGTAGCTGCCAACACTGAAGCCACTGCTCAGGGTGCAGGTGAGTCTGGCTGTGGCTCCCAGAGAGGCAGAGAGGGAGGGCGGCTGGGTCAGCACAGGCTGGGACAGGGACCCTGCAGACACACACACTTGTCAGTGAGGGGCAGGGACCAGGGGCAGGTTCCCAGGAGACCGAGCAGAAAGGGAAGGAGCCTGGGCCCAGGCCTGGCCCTACCTGTGCAGAGAGAGAGGAGCGCCAGGAGCAGAGGAGTCCAGGCCATGGTGCTCACAGCCCTGAGCCCACAGAGGGGCTGGACTGCCCAGGCCTCCTTTTCTCCCCCGCCCTCTGCCAGAGGAGGGGCTGCCATGCAAATGCGGTTCCCTGCAGGGACTGCCGAGCCCCTCCCTGGGCTCTGGGGCTGCAGCTCAGCTCACACCCCAGACGTAGGAGCACGGAGTTGGGCTCACCCCTTAGGGGGCCCTGGGAGGAAGCACCTGCTGATATACCATGTCACTGAGCACAGGGCCCAGCCTCATGCCCAGGCTCCTAACAGTTAAAGTCCTTAATGTGCAGCTGCATTGGAACCACAGGGCGGTCCCACAGCGCCCCCTGCTGGTGGCTGCACACACCTGCCCTTGGCCCCAAGCCCTGAGAGCCCAGCTGGACCTGCAGCTCAGTGGGGACTGTCTGTGGCCACACACCCTGCCCTGGTCCCGGTCCTGTGCCTGATGCCTGGAGCGCCCCTGCAGCCTCACTCCCAGGAGTCCCGCCTGTGGGAGGCGCCATCAGGTCCACCAAGGACACATGGATATGGTTTCCCCTCCCAGGAAGATGGTGCACAAGTGAGTGCACAGGGACCCTCCTGTCCCACGTCACAGCCAGGGACCCCTCCCTCTGGAGACCGGGACTCAGAGGGCTGCTCAGGGCGTTTCTCGGGAACACACTCAGGACCAAGGTCCAAGGAGGACATATCTCCAGACCTTCCACGTCTTGATGGGTACGTGCAGGCTCACAGAGATCTGATGCGACGGACCCATAAGCATCATGGCGTCTGCAGGCCTCCCGTGGGCCAGTGGGAGGAGCCACAGCCAATTCATGCAGGAACTGACTTTTATCACGTGTGTGGTGATCGGCATAGCTGTGTCCTGTGTATCTTGTTCGGATATTCTCAGGTGTCCTATAACTTTTGTTGTTGTTGTTTATAGATATAAAAAAGTAATATGCTAATTAGCCTGACACCTTAACAGACAAGTCCAGGCACAAGGAGGCTTCCTGGGCAGGTGAGGTGAAGAGTGGACTTGGACCGGGGCCTGGTAATGCTCCAGCCACGGCGCACCGGCTGTCCCCCCTCTGCCCGGGAGCTCAAGAGGAAACTCCTGATTTCACCGCTCATTGGCTCAGCTTCCGGGACTCCTCTCACAGTGCTCTTGGTAACTAGGGTGGGAAGAATCCAAGAAGGTGATCTCAGCTTATTCCCCCTCACTCCTGGAGGAAAAAGCAAAGGACTACTGCTGGAGGGGCTAAGAAATGTCACATCCTGCCCTAGCCGGTTTAGCTCCATGGATAGAGCCTCAGCCTGCCGACCACAGGATCTGGTTGGATTCTGATCAAGGGCATGTACCTACGTTGCAGGCCCCTCCCTGGCCGAGGCCCCAGGTCAGGGCTCCTGAGGAGGCACCAATCGAATTGTCTCTCTGACATTGTGTCTCTCTCTGTCTTTCCCTCTCTCTTCCCTGCTTTCTAAAAACCAATGGAAACGTATCCTCAGGTAAGGATAATTAAAAACAATAAAGAACGGGCATATCCTACAAAAGAGACATGTTGAAAAGGCCTGAAGAAAGTGGACATTTTACCACGCTGAAGGGACCAGAGTTTACGTGCATGGGAACACCTGGGCAGCTGTGGCCGCTGCAGTGGGGTGATGGGGGTGACGTCTACCGGGCAGTCACCACACACAGCGGGGGACCAGCCTAGGCCGGGGCTCATTGCCCATAGGGAGCAGGGTAAACTGTCAAGAGGCCATCCCTGAGAGCTCCTGGGTTGGAGAGGGTGCAGGCTAGGCTCAGGGGAACACCCCTCCCCATGCACGAATTTCATGCACCAGCACTTTAGGGTTTTAAATAAAACTTTACCTGCCTGTACGTTCTGACTCATTATCCTATTTTGTGACAAATGTGAGATTGTGCTGTGTGTGCACACTCCGGGACCGTCTGGGCATTGAATGCACAGACCCTCACGTCCTCACTGAATGAAAACCACGGAAGGAACTTGTCACTGTTCCCTGAAGCCTTCCCATGGAGACGGGGCTAAGAGCTGAGGAGCCTGAGGTAGGGAGAGAGGAGGGGAGGAGGCAGCAACAGAGGAGGGAGGAGGGCAGGGAGGGGTGACCATAAATGATATCCAATGGGTTGTGTGAATTCTGGGACCTCCTGCCTGTGATGGGCCCCTGACCTGCGGGAATCAGTGGGACTGGCCCTTAACTGCGGGTCTGACACCCTCTCTGGGCAGATGGGTGAGCACTGAGTGCTGTTGTGGGGCATCAGCTGGGGTCAGAGAACTGCTGTTGGGGAGCCACTCCCCACACATTGGGGCCCAGAAGGGCCAGGAGGGAAGAGCTCTGGGGAGGAGCAGACACACACACAGGAGGGAGGAGCTGAGACTCTGATCCAGAAATGTTCCTTCTTAGAATCCCCCGACACAGGGTGGTGGGCGGGGCCCCTGACCTCCCGTGTGCTCCTGGGACGCCTGTGCTGCTGCTCCATCGAGTGCGACCTCCCTCCTCCCGGGACACAGGTCCCTGCAGAGGAGCCACCGACAGAGGCCCCAGACGCTCCTCGCTGCAGGAGGCTCAGGGCCCCCGCCTCGGGGCCAGGGTTTTGGTCTCACTTCCTCGTCCTCTGAGACACTGTGGGTAATAGTAGCTACTTGAACCGCCAATATCTGCATTGCAGTAATAGTCAGCCTCGTCTTCAGGCTGCAGCCCCGAGATAGTCAGGAGCCCCGCATTGGCCGAGGCGTCTTTGGATCCAGAGAAGCGGCTGGGGACCCCAGATCCCAAACTTGTACTTGAGTAGTAGTACAGGAGATACCGGGGAGGGCTCCCTGGCTTCTGCTGGTACCAGGATATCCCGTAGCTGCCAACATTGTAGTTGCTGCTCAGTGTGCAGGTGAGTCTGACTGTGGCTCCAGGAGATGCAGAGAGGGAGGGCGGCTGGGTCAGCACAGGCTGGGAGAGGGACCCTGCAGACACAGACACTTGTCAGTGAGGGGCAGGGACCAGGGGCAGGTTCCCAGGAGACCGAGCAGGAAGGGAAGGAGCCTGGGCCCAGGCCTGGCCCTACCTGTGCAGTGAGAGAGGAGCGCCAGGAGCAGAGGGGTCCAGGCCATGGTGGCTCACAGCCCTGAGCCCACAGTGGGGCTGGGCTGCCCAGGCCTCCTTTTCTCCCCTGCCCTCTGCCAGGGGAGGGGCTGCCATGCAAATGGGGGTCCCTCCAGGGACTGCCCAGCCCCTCCCTGGGCCCTGGGGCTGCAGCTCAGCTCACACCCCAGACGGAGGGTCATGGAGGTGGGCTCCCCACTTCGGGGACCCTGGGAGGAAGCACCTGCTGAGACACCAAATCACTGAGCACAGGGCACAGCCACAGACCCAGGTTGCTATGAGTTAAGGATCCTTAATGGACAGCTGCATTGGGACTACAAAGTGGCCCCACAGCGCCCTCTGCTGCTGGCAGCACACACCTGCCTTTGGCCCAAAGCCCTGAGAGCCCAGCTGGACCTGCAGCTCAGAGGGGACTGTCTGTGGCCACACTCCCTGCCCGGGTCCCGGGTCCTGTGCCTGATGCCTGGAGCGCTCCCTGCAGCCTCCCTCCCAGGAGGAGCCCCGCCTGTGGGAGGCGCCATCAGGTCCACCAAGGACACATGGATGTGGCTTCCCCTCCAGGGAAGATGGTGCACAAGTGAGTGCACAGGGACCCTCCTGTCCCACGTCACAGCCCAGGGACCCCTCCCTCTGGAGACCAGGCCTCAGAGGGCTGCTCCCGGGAGCAGACTCAGGATCAAGGTCCAAGGAGGACGTCTCTCCAGACCTTCCACGTCTTGAGGGGCACGTGCAGGCTCACAGAGATCTGATGGGATGGACCCATAAGCATCATGGCATCTGCAGGCCTCCCCTGGGCCAGTGGGAGGAGCCACAGCTCATTCATCCAGGAATTAACCTTCGTCACGTGTGTGGTGATCGGCACAGCTGTGTCCTGTGTTTCTTATTGGGATTTTCTCAGCTGTTGACATTTGTTTATATTTTACTTAAAACTTTACCTCCTGTGCTTTCTGACTCGTCCTATTTTCGTGAAAAGTGGGAGAATTTGCTTTGTGTAGACACCCTTTCTGTCTGGACAAGTGAATACAGACACCATCACATCCTCACTGAATGGAAACCCAGCGGGAACTTGTCACTTTTCTCTGAATCCTCATGAAGGATGAACTCTGACCTAAGACCTGAGGATGCGGAGGGAGAGAGGAGGGGAGGGAGGCAGCAGCAGAGGAGGGAGGAGGGCAGGGAGGGGGGACTGAGAGTCTGTGCTGGTGGGGACCAACCTTCTGTGGTTTGTGCAGAGAAGGAGGAGGCTGTGTCCATGACCAAGGGGAACACGCACATATCACATGTGATGGGTCAGGAGTCACACAGGTCACATACGTGACATGAATGTGTGGGGAGCGTGGCTGTCTGGGGGTCCCTGTGTGGGTGCAGACACAGTGTGTGAGATGACAGGAAACACACGCTGGTCTCGGACCCTGGCCCGGCACAGGCTCCTGAGACCCTTGTCACTCCCTGGGGGGCGGGCGGGCCTGTGGCTGATGAGGTGGCGCTGGGCGGGCTCCTGGGTGAGGACGGGCCACGGGAGAGGCCGGGAGGATGAGAAGCTAGGGAGCCCCTCACCTGCACCCCGTTCCATTAAAGGGGAGAGGGCTCGGGTGCAGTTAGCAATTTCTTAGAATGCAGGAAGGGAACTATGGGAACCATAATTGATATCCAAGGAGTTTTGTGAATCCTGGGACCTCTCAGCTGTGATGGGCACCTGACCTGCAGGCATCAGGGGGACTGGCCCTTTAACTGCGGGTCTGACACCCTCTCTGGGCAGATGGGTGAGCACTGAGTGCTGTTGGGGGACATCAGCTGGGGTCAGAGAACTGCTGTTGGGGAGCCACTCCCCACACATTGGGGCCCAGAAGGGCCAGGAGGGAAGAGCTCTGGGGAAGCAGCAGACACACACACAGGATGGAGGAGCAGAGACTCTGACCCAAAATGTTCCTTCTTAGAATCTCCCCGACACGGGGTGGAGGGCGGGACCCCTGACCTCCCGTGTGCTCCTGGGACGCCTGTGCTTCTGCTCCATCGAGTGTGACCTCCCTATTTCCGGGACACAGGTCCCTGCAGGGGAGCCACCGACAGAGGCCCCATAAGCTCCTGGCTGCAGGAGGCTCTGAGCCCCCGCCTCGGGGCCAGGGTTTTGGTCTCACTTCCTCGTCCTCTGAGACACTGTGGGTAACGGTAGCTGCTTCCACTGCCAACAGGAGTGGTGCAATAATAGTGAGCCTCATCCTCAGGCTGCAGCCCCGAGATGGTCAGGAGCCCTGCTTTGGCCGAATCATCATTGGATCCAGAGAAACGGCTGGGGACCCCGGACCCTTGATACTTCTCTGAGTCTGACTTATATTGCAGGAGAAACTGGGGAGGGCTCCCTGGCTTCTGCTGGATCCACGTTATCCAGTAATCACTAATAGGATAGGAACCAGTACCACTTAAGGTGCAGGTGAGTCTGACTGTGGCTCCAGGAGATGCAGAGAGGGAGGCCGGCTGGGTCATGGCAAACTGGGAGAGGGACCCTGCAGACACATACAATTGTCAGTGAGGGGCAGGGACCAGGGGCAGGTTCCCAGGAGAACCAGCAGGAAGGGAAAAGCCTGGGCCCAGACCTGGCCCTACCTGTGCAGAGAGAGAGGAGCGCCAGGAGCAGAGGAGTCCAGGCCATGGTGCTCACAGCCCTGAGCCCACAGTGGGGCCGGGCTGCCCAGGCCTCCTTTTCTCCCCCGCCCTCTGCCAGGGGAGGGGCTGCCATGCAAATGGGGGTCCCTCCAGGGACTGCCCAGCCCCTCCCTGGGCCCTGGGGCTGCAGCTCAGCTCACACCCCAGACTGAGGGGCAGGGAGGTGGGCTCAGCCCCTGGGGGGCCCTGGGAGGAAGCACCTGCTGAGACACCACATCACTGAGCACAGGGCCCAGCCTCCTATTAAAGTCCTTAATGTGCAGCTGCATTGGGACCACAGAGCGGTCCCACAACGCCCCCTCTTGGTGGTAGCAAACACCTGCACTTGGCCCAATGCCCTGAGAGCCCAGCTGGACCTGCAGCTCAGAGGGGACTGTCTGTGGCCACACTCCCTGCCCGGGTCCCAGGTCCTGTGCCTGATGCCTGGAGCGCTCCCTGCAGCCTCCCTCCCAGGAGGAGCCCCGCCTGTGGGAGGCGCCATCAGGTCCACCAAGGACACATGGATGTGGCTTCCCCTCCCGGGAAGATGGTGCACAAGTGAATGCACAGGGACCCTATGTCCCACGTCACAGCCCAGGGACCCCTCCCTCTGGAGACCGGGCCTCAGAGGGCTGCTCCCGGGAGCAGACTCAGGATCAAGGTCCAAGGAGGAGGTCTCACCAGACCTTCCACGTCTTGAGGGGCACGTGCAGGCTCACAGAGATCTGATGGGACGGACCCATAAGTATCATGGCGTTTGCAGGCTTCCCGTCGGCCAGTGGGAGGAGCCAAGCTCATTCATCCAGGAATTAACCTTCGTCACGTGTGTGGTGATCTGCACAGCTGTGTCCTGTGTTTCTTGTTGGGATTTTCTCAGCTGTTGACATTTGTTTATATTTTACTTAAAACTTTACCTCCTGTGCTTTCTGACTCGTCCTATTTTGTGAAAAGTGGGAGAATTTGCTGTGTGTAGACACCCTTTCTGACTGGACAGGTGAATACAGACACCAGCACATCCTCACTGAATGGAAACCCAGCGGGAACTTGTCACTTTTCTCTGAATCCTCATGAAGGATGAACTCTGACCTAAGACCTGAGGATGCGGAGGGAGAGAGGAGGGGAGGGAGGCAGCAGCAGAAGAGGGAGGAGGGCAGGGAGGGGGTACTGAGAGTCTGTGCTGGTGGGGACCAACCTTCTGTGGTTTGTACAGAGAAGGAGGAGGCTGTGTCCATGACCAAGGGGAACACGCACATATCACATGTGATGGGTCAGGAGTCACACAGGTCACATACGTGACATGAATGTGTGGGGAGCGTGGCTGTCTGGGGGTCCCTGTGTGGGTGCAGACACAGTGTGTGAGATGACAGGAAACACACGCTGGTCTCGGACCCTGGCCCGGCACAGGCTCCTGAGACCCTTGTCACTCCCTGGGGGCGGGCGGGCCTGTGGCTGATGAGGGGGCGCTGGGCGGGCTCCTGGGTGAGGACGGGCCACGGGAGAGGCCGGGAGGATGAGAAGCTGGGGAGCCCCTCACCTGCACCCCGTTCCATTAAAGGGGAGAGGGCTCGGGTGCAGTTAGCAATTTCTTAGAATGCAGGAAGGGAATTATGGGAACCATAATTGATATCCAAGGAGTTTTGTGAATCCTGGGACCTCTCAGCTGTGATGGGCACCTGACCTGCAGGCATCAGGGGGACTGGCCCTTTAACTGCGGGTCTGACACCCTCTCTGGGCAGATGGGTGAGCACTGAGTGCTGTTGGGGGACATCAGCTGGGGTCAGAGAACTGCTGTTGGGGAGCCACTCCCCACACATTGGGGCCCAGAAGGGCCAGGAGGGAAGAGCTCTGGGGAAGCAGCAGACACACACACAGGATGGAGGAGCAGAGACTCTGACCCAAAATGTTCCTTCTTAGAATCTCCCCGACACGGGGTGGAGGGCGGGACCCCTGACCTCCCGTGTGCTCCTGGGACGCCTGTGCTGCTGCTCCATCGAGTGCGACCTCCCTCCTCCCGGGACACAGGTCCCTGCAGAGGAGCCACCGACAGAGGCCTCAGACGCTCCTCGCTGCAGGAGGCTCAGGGCCCCCGCCTCGGGGACAGGGTTTTGGTCTCACTTCCTCGTCCTCTGAGACACTGTGGGTAATAGTAGTTGCTCGCATCGCCAATATCTGCATTGCAGTAATAGTCAGCCTCGTCCTCAGCCTGCAGCCCCGAGATGGTCAGGAGCCCCGCATTGGCCGAGGCGTCTTTGGATCCAGAGAAGCGGCTGGGGACCCCGGAGCCCTGGTGTTTCTCTGAGTCTGATTTATATTTCTGGAGATACCGGGGACGGCTCCCTGGCTTCTGCTGGTACCAGTATATGCTATAGCTGCCAACACTGAAGCCGCTGCTCAGGGTGCAGGTGAGTCTGACTGTGGCTCCCGGAGATGCAGAGACGGAGGGCGGCTGGGTCACAACAAGCTGCTGGGAGAGGGACCCTGCAGACACAGACACTTGTCAGTGAGGGGCAGGGACCAGGGGCAGGTTCTCAGGAGACCGAGCAGGAAGGGAAGGAGCCTGGGCCCAGGCCTGGCCCTACCTGTGCAGAGAGAGAGGAGCACCAGGAGCAGAGGAGTCCAGGCCATGGTGCTCACAGCCCTGAGCCCACAGTGGGGCTGGGCTGCCCAGGCCTCCTTTTCTCCCCTGCCCTCTGCCAGGGGAGGGGCTGCCATGCAAATGGGGGTCCCTGCAGGGACTGCCCAGCCCCTCCTTGGCCCTGGGTTGCAACTCAGTTGATACCCCAGACTAAGGGGCATGGAGGTGGGCTCAGCCCTTGGGGGGCCCTCGGAGGAAGCACCTGCTGAGACACCACATCACTGAGCACAGGGCCCAGCCTCAGTCCCAGCTCCTAATAGTTAAGGTCCTTAATGTGCTGCTGCATTTGGCCCACAGGGCAGTCCCGCAGCGCCCCCTGCTGGTAGCAGCACACACCTGCCCTTGGCCCAAAGTCCTGAGAGCCCAGCTGGACCTGCAGCTCAGAGGGGAATGTCTGTGGCCACACACCCTGCCCTGGTCCCTGTCCTGTGCCTGATGCCTGGAGCGCCCCTGCAGCCTCCCTCCCAGGAGGAGGCCCGCCTGTGGGAGACGCCATCAGATCCACCAAGGACACATGGATGTGGTTTCCCCCCAAGTGCAGATGGAGCACAAGTGAGTGCACAGGACCCTCCTGTCCCACGTCACAGCCCAGGGACCCCTCCCTCTGGAGACCGGGACTCAAGGGCTGTTCAGGGCGTTTCCCGGGAACACACTCAGGACCAAGGTCCAAGGAGGACGTCTCTCCAGACCTTCCACGTCTTGAGGGGCACGTGCAGGCTCACAGAGATCTGATGCGACTGACCCATAAGCATCATGGCGTCTGCAGGCCTCCCGTGGGCGAGTGGGAGGAGTCACAGCTCATTCATGCAGGAACTGACTTTTATCACGTGTGTGGTGATCCGTATAGCTGTGTCCTGTGTTTCTTGTTGGGATTTTCTCAAGTGTCCTGACATTGGTTTGTATTTTAAATAAAACTTTATCTCTTATGCTTTTTGACTAGTTGTCCTATATTAGTGAAAAATGGGTGAATTTGCTGTTAGCAGACAGGCTTTCTGTCTGGGCAGGTGAACAAAGACAACATCACATATTCACTGAATGGAAACCATGGCAGGGACTTGTCACTTTTCTCTGAATCCTCATGAAGGATGAACTCTGACCTAAGACCTGAGGATGCCGAGGGAGAGAGGAGGGGAGGGAGGCAGCAGCAGAGGTGGGAAGAGGGCAGGGAGGGGGGACTGAGAGTCTGTGCTGGCTGGGACTCACCTTCTCTGGTTTGTTCAGAGAAGGAGGAGGCTGTGTCCATGACCAGGGAAACACAAACATGTCACATGGGACGGGTCAGGAGTCACACAGGGTCACATACGTGACAGGAATGTGTGAAGAGCATGGCTGTCTGGGGGACCCTGTGTGGGTGCAGATACTGTGTGAGATGACAGGAAACATATGCTGGTCTCCGCCCCTGGCCCCTGCACAGGCTCCTGAGTCTCTTGTCACTCCCTGGGGGGCGGGCGGGCCTGTGGCTGATGAGGTGGCACTGGGCGGGCTCCTGGGTGAGGACAGGCCAAGGGAGAGGTCGGGAGGATGAGAAGCTGGGGAGCCCCTCACCTGCACCCCGTTCCATTAAAGGGGAGAGGGCTCAGGTGCAGTTAGCAAATTCTTAGAATGCAGGAAGGGAACTATGGGAACCATAATTGATATCCAAGGAGTTTTGTGAATACTGGGACCTCCCAGCTGTGATTGGCATCTGACCTGCAGGCATCAGGGGGACTGGCCCTTTAACTGCGGGTCTGACACCCTCTCTGGGCAGATGGGTGAGCACTGAGTGCTGTTGGGGGACATCAGCTGGGGTCAGAGAACTGCTGTCGGGGAGCCACTCCCCACACTATGGGGCCCAGAAGGGCCAGGAGGGAAGAGCTCTGGGGAGCAGCAGACACACACACAGGAGGGAGGAGCTGAGACTCTGACCCAGAACTGTTCCTTCTTAGAATCCCCCGACACGGGGTGGAGGGCGGGGCCCCTGACCTCCCGTGTGCTCCAGGGACGCCTGTGCTGCTGCTCCATCGAGTGTGACCTCCCTCCTCCCGGGACACAGGTCCCTGCAGAGGAGCCACTGACAGAGGCCCCAGACGCTCCTCACTGCAGGAGGCTCCGAGCCCCCGCCTTGGGGCCAGGGATTTTGGTCTCACTTCCTCGTCCTCTGAGACACTGTGGGTGGTGGTGTCTGCTCACATCGCCCTCATCTGCATTGCAGTGATACTCAGCTTCATCCTCAGGCTGCAGCCCCGAGATGGTCAGGAGCCCCGCATTGGCCGAGGCGTCTTTGGATCCAGAGAAGCGGCTGGGGACTCCAGATACAAGGTACTTGTCAGAGTCTGACTTATATCTCAGGAGAAATCTGGGAGGGCTCCCTGGCTTCCACTGGAACCAGCGAATATGGTAGTCGCCAACATTGAAGCCGCTGCTCAGGGAGCAGGTGAGTCTAACTGTGGCTCCCAGAGATGCAGAGACGGAGGGCGGCTGGGTCAGGACAGTCTGGGACAGGGACCCTGCAGACACACACACTTGTCAGTGAGGGGCAGGGACCAGGGGCAGGTTCCCAGGAGACCGAGCAGGAAGGGAAGGAGCCTGGGCCCAGGCCTGGCCCTACCTGTGCAGAGAGAGAGGAGCACCAGGAGCAGAGGAGTCCAGGCCATGGTGCTCACAGCCCTGAGCCCACAGTGGGGCTGGGCTGCCCAGGCCTCCTTTTCTCCCCTGCCCTCTGCCAGGGGAGGGGCTGCCATGCAAATGGGGTCCCTGCAGGGACTGCCCAGCCCCTCCTTGGCCCTGGGTTGCAACTCAGTTGATACCCCAGACTAAGGGGCATGGAGGTGGGCTCAGCCCTTGGGGGGCCCTCGGAGGAAGCACCTGCTGAGACACCACATCACTGAGCACAGGGCCCAGCCTCATGCCCAGGCTCCTATTATAATAGTTAAGGTCCTTAATGTGAAGCTGCATAGACCACAGGGCAGTCCCAGAGCGCCCTCTGCTGCTGGCAGCAAACACCTGCCTTTGGCCCAAAGCTCTGAGAACCCATCTGGACCTGCAGCTCAGAGGGGAATGTCTGTGGCCACACACCCTGCCCTGGTCCCGGGTCCTGTGTCTGTTGCCTGGAGCGCTCCCTGCAGCCTCCCTCGCAGGAGGAGTCCTGACTGTGGGAGGCGCCATCAGGTCCACCAAAGGACACATGGATGTGGTTTCCCCTCCAGGGAAGATGGTGCACAAGTGAGTGCACAGGGACCCTCCTGTCCCAAGTCACAGCCAGGGACCCCTCCCTCTGGAGACCGGGACTCAGAGGGCTGCTCAGGGCGTTTCCCGGGTACACACTCAGGACCAAGGTCCATGAGGAGGTCTCACCAGACCTTCCACGCCATGAGGGGCACGTGCAGGCTCACAGAGATCTGATGGGACGGACCCATAAGCATCATGGCGTTTGCAGGCCTCCCGTGGGCCAGTGGGAGGAGCCACAGCTCATTCATCCAGGAATTAACCTTCGTCACGTGTGTGGTGATCGGCACAGCTGTGTCCTGTGTTTCTTGTTGGGATTTTCTCAGCTGTTGACATTTGTTTATATTTTACTTAAAACTTTACCTCCTGTGCTTTCTGACTCATCCTATTTTCGTGAAAAGTGGGAGAATTTGCTGTGTGTAGACACCCTTTCAGTCTGGACTGGTGAATACAGACACCAGCACATCCTCACTGAATGGAAACCCAGCGGGAACTTGTCACTTTTCTCTGAATCCTCATGAAGGATGAACTCTGACCTAAGACCTGAGGATGCGGAGGGAGAGAGGAGGGGAGGGAGGCAGCAGCAGAGGAGGGAGGGTGGCAGGGAGGGGGCACTGTGGGTCCGTGCTGGTTGGGACCCACCTTCTGTGGTTTGTTCAGAGAAGGAGGAGGCTGTGTCAATGACCAGGGGGAACATGAACATGTCACATGGGACGGGTCAGGATTCACACAGGGTCACACACGGGATAGGAATGTGTGGGGAGCATGGCTGTCTGGGGGACCCTGTGTTGGTGCAGACACAGTGCGTGACATGACAGTAAACACACGCTGGTCTCCGTCCCTGGCCCCGGCACAGGATCCTGAGACCCTTGTCACTCCCTGGGGGGCGGGCAGGCCTGTGCCCGATGAGGGGGAGCTGGGCGGGCTCCCTTTGACTGACACCCAAGGGCAGACAGTCATCACCTCTGGGCCAGGGGTTTCGGTCTCACTTCCTCATCCTCTGAGACACTGTGGGTAACGGTAGCTGCTGCCACTGCCATGATCTGTAGCGCAGTAATAGTGAGCCTCGTCCTCAGGCTGCAGCCCCGAGATGGTCAGGAGCCCTGCATTGGCCGAGGCGTCTTTGGATCCAGAGAAGCGGCTGGGACCCCGGAGCTCTGTTGCTTAATGGAGTCTGAGTAATAGCTCAGGAGATACTGGGGAGGGCTCCCTGGCTTCTGCTGGTACCAGTATATAGCATAGCCGCCAACACTGAAACCACTGCTAAGGGTGCAGGTGAGTCTGGCTGTGGCTCCCGGAGATGCAGAGAGGAAGGGCGGCTGGGTCAGCACAGGCTGGGAGAGGGACCCTGCAGACACACACACTTGTCAGTGAGGGGCAGGGACCAGGGGCAGGTCCCCAGGAGACCGAGCAGGAAGGGAAGGAGCCTGGGGCCAGGCCTGGCCCTACCTGTGCAGAGAGAGAGGAGCGCCAGGAGCAGAGGAGTCCAGGCCATGGTGCTCACAGCCCTGAGCCCACAGTGGGGCTGGGCTGCCCAGGCCTCCTTTTCTCCCTTGCCCTCTGCCAGGGGAGGGGCTGCCATGCAAATGGGGGTCCCTCCAGGGACTGCCCAGCCCCTCCCCGGGCCCTGGGGCTGCAGCTCAGCTCACACCCCAGACGGAGGGTCATGGAGGTGGGCTTCCCCTTGGGGAGCCCTGGGAGGAAGCACCTGCTGAGACATCAAATCACTGAGCACAGGGCACAGCTACAGACCCAGGTTGCTATGAGTTAAGGATCCTTAATGGACAGCTGCATTGGGACTACAAAGTGGTCCCACAGCGCCCTCTGCTGCTAGCAGCACACACCTGCCCTTGGCCCAAAGCCCTGAGAACCCAGCTGGACCTGCAGCTCAGAGGGGATTGTCTGTGGCCGGGTCCTGGGTCCTGTGCCTGATGCCTGGAGCACTCCCTGCAGCCTCCCTCCAGGAGGAGTCCCGCCTGTGGTAGGCGCCATCAGGTCCACCAAGGACAGATGGACGTGGTTTCCCCTCCAGTGCAGATGGTGCACAAGTGAGTGCACAGGGACCCTCCTGTCCCACGTCACAGACCAGAGACCCCTCCCTCTGGAGACCGGGACTCAGAGGGCTGCTCAGGGCGTTTCCCGGGAACACACTCAGGACCAAGGTCCCAGGAGGACATTTGTCCATACCTTCCACGCCTTGAGGGGCACGTGCAGGCTCACAGAGATCTGATGGGACGGACCCATAAGCATCATGGCGTCTGCAGGCCTCCCGTGGGCCAGTGAGAGGAGCCACAGCCAATTCATTGAGGAACTGACTTTTATCACGTGTGTGGTGATCGGCATAGCTGTGTCCTGTGTTTCTTGTTAGGATATTCTCAGGTGTCCTATAACTTTTGTTGTTGTTGTTGTTTATAGATATAAAAAGGTAATATGCTAATTAGCCTGACACCTTAACAGACAAGTCCAGGCACAAGGAGGCTTCCTGGGCCGGTGAGGTGAAGAGTGGACTCGGACAGGGACCTGGTAATGCTCCAGCCACGGCGCACCAGCTGTCCCCCCTCTGCCCGGGAGCTCAAGAGGAAACTCCTGACTTCACCGCTCATTGGCTCAGCTCCCGGGACTCCTCTCACAGTGCTCTTGGTAACTAGGGTGGGAAGAATCCAAGAAGGTGATCTCAGCTTATTCCCCCTCACTCCTGGAGGAAAAAGCAAAAGATTACTGCTGGAGGGGCTAAGAAATGTCACATCCTGCCCTAGCCGGTTTAGCTCCATGGATAGAGTCTCAGCCTGCCGACCACCGGATCTGGTTGGATTCTGATCAAGGGCATGTACCTATGTTGCAGGCCCCTCCCTGGCCGAGGCCCCAGGTCAGGGCTCCTGAGGAGGCACCAATCGAATTGTCTCTCTGACATTGTGTCTCTCTCTGTCTTTCCCTCTCTCTTCCCTGCTTTCTAAAAACCAATGGAAACGTATCCTCAGGTAAGGATAATTAAAAACAATAAAGAACGGGCATATCCTACAAAAGAGACATGTTGAAAAGGCCTGAAGAAAGTGGACATTTTACCACGCTGAAGGGACCAGAGTTTACGTGCATGGGAACAACTGGGCAGCTGTGGCCGCTGCAGTGGGGTGATGGGGGTGACGTCTACCGGCCAGTCACCACACACAGCGGGGAACCAGCCTAGGCCGGGCTCGTTGTCCACAGGGAGCAGGGCAAACTGCCAGGAGGTCATCCCTGAGAGCTCCTGGATTGGAGAGGGTGCAGGCTAGGCTCAAGGGACCACCCCTCCCCATGCACGAATTTCATGCACCAGCACTTTAGGGTTTTAAATAAAACTTTACCTGCCTGTACGTTCTGACTCATTATCATATTTTGTGACAAATGTGAGATTGTGCTGTGTGTGCACACTCTGGGACCGTCTGGGCATTGAATGCAGAGACCCTCACGTCCTCACTGAATGAAAACCACAGAAGGAACTTGTCACTGTTCCCTGAAGCCTTCCCGTGGAGACGGGGCTAAGAGCTGAGGAGCCTGAGGGAGGGAGAGAGGAGGGGAGGGAGGCAGCAACAGAGGAGGGAGGAGGGCAGGGAGGTGTGACCATAAATGATATCCAATGGGTTGTGTGATTCCTGGGACCTCCTGCCTGTGATTGGCCCCTGACCAGGGGGAATCAGGGGGACTGGCCCTTAAACTGCGGGTTTGACACCCTCTCTGGCAGCTGGGGTGAGCACTGAGTGCTGTTGGGGAACATCAGCTGGGGTCAGAGAACTGCTGTCGGGGTGCCACTCCCCACACATTGGGGCCCAGAAGGGCCAGGAGGGAAGAGCTCTGGGGAAGCAGCAGCACACACACAGGAGGGAGGAGTAGAGACTCTGACCCAGAAATGTTCCTTCTTAGAATCCTCCCGACACGGGGTGGAGGGCGGGGCCCCTGACCTCCCGTGTGCTCCTGGGACGCCTGTGCTGCTGCTCCATCGAGTGTGACCTCCCTCCTCCCGGGACACAGGTCCCTGCAGGGGAGCCACTGACAGAGGCCCCAGACACTCCTGGCTGCAGGAGGCTCCGAGCCCCCGCCTCGGGGCCAGGGGTTTTGGTCTCACTTCCTCGTCCTCTGAGACACTGTGGGTAACGGTCGGGGCTATCGCCTTTATCTGCATTGCAGTAATAGTCCGCCTCGTCCTCAGGCTGCAGCCCCGAGATGGTCAGGAGCCCCGCATTGGCCGAGGCGTCTTTGAATCCAGAGAAGCGGCTGGGGACCCCGGAGCCCTGGTCCTTATCTGAGTCTGAGTAGAATCTCAGGAGATACCTGGGACGGCTCCCTGGCTTCTGCTGGAACCAGCGGATATGGTAGCCGTCAACACTGAAGCCAATGCTCAGGGTGCAGGTGAGTGTGACTGTGGCTCCCAGAGATGCAGAAAGGGAGGGCGGCTGGCTCACCACAAGCTTGGAGAGGGACCCTGCAGACACAGACACTTGTCAGTGAGGGGCAGGGACCAGGGGCAGGTTCCCAGGAGACCGAGCAGAAAGGGAAGGGGCCTGGGCGCAGTTCTGGCCCTACCTGTGCAGTGAGAGAGGAGCGCCAGGAGCAGAGGGGTCCAGGCCATGGTGCTCACAGTCCTGAGCCCACAGTGGGGCTGGGCTGCCCAGGCCTCCTTTTCTCGCCCGCCCTCTGCCAGAGGAGGGGCTGCCATGCAAATGGGGGTCCCCCCAGGGGCTGCCCAGCCCCTCCCTGGGCCCTGGGGCTGCAGCTCAGCTCACACCCCAGACCTAGGAGCACGGAGTTGGGCTCACCCCTTAGGGGGCCCTGGGAGGAAGCACCTGCTGATATACCATGTCACTGAGCACAGGGCCCAGCCTCATGCCCAGGCTCCTAATAGTTAAGGTCCTTAATGTGCAGCTGCATTGGAACCACAGGGCGGTCCCACAGCGCCCCCTGCTGGTAGCAGCACACACCTGCCCTTGGCCCAAAGCCCTGAGAGCCCAGCTGGACCTGCAGCTCAGAGGGGACTGTCTGTGGCCACACACCCTGCCTGGGTCCGGGTCCTGTGCCTGGTACCTGGAGTGCTCCCTGTAGCCTCCCTCCCAGGAGGAGTCCTGACTGTGGGAGGTGCCATCAGGTCCACCAAGGACACATGGATGTGGTCTCCCCTCCAGGGAAGATGGTGCACAATTGAGTGCACAGGACCCTCCTGTCCCACGTCCAGGGACCCCTCCCTCTGGAGACCGGGACTCAGAGGGCTGCTCAGGGCGTTTCCCGGGAACACACTCAGGACCAAAATCTAAGGAGGACGTCTCTCCAGACCTTCCACGCCATGAGGGGCACGTGCAGGCTCACAAAGATCTGATGGGACGGACCCATAAGCATCATGGCGTCTGCAGGCCTCCCGTGGGCCAGTGGGAGGAGCCACAGCCAATTCATTGAGGAATTGACTTTTGTCTCGTGTGTGGTGATCTGCATAGCTGTGTCCTGTGCTTCTTGTTGGTGTTCCGACATTTGTTTATATTTTATTTTATTTTTTAAAAATATATTTTATTGATTTTTCACAGAGTTGAAGAGAGAGGGATAGAGAGTTAGAAACATCGATGAGAGAGAATCATTGATCAGCTGCCTCTTGCTCACCCCCTACTGGGGATGTGCCCACAACCAAGGCACATGCCCTTGCCCGGAATCAAACCCTGGACCTTTCAGTCCGCAGGCCGACGCTCTATCTACTGAGCCAAAACGGCCCGGCCGACATTTGTTTATATTTTAAATAAATCTTTACCTTCTGTGCTTTCTGACTCGGTGTCCTCTTTTGTGACATATGGGAGATTGCGATGTGTGTGCAGATGCTGGGAAGTGGGGGCAGTTGATAGGCTGTCATCTGAGATTGGACAGGGAGCTGGCCGTGGTGCTGATGAAGCTGAGGAGGGACAGGGCGTCCTGTGTGTGGCGCTGGGAGGGGGCGGGTGTGGGAGCAGAATAAAGGCCTCACCGGCCCGTGTGCCCTCAGCTCTCTTCTACCTGCATCCAGCCCCTGCATCACCGTCTGCGGCCCCGTGTCAGTCACACAGACACCTCACGTTCTGCATTTTCCTTCATGAATCTCCCTCACCCCAACCCCTGGCAATTCTGTGGGACTTGGGGTTCAACAATTGATATTAACTGTTATTGTTCCCTTGGTAGACCTTAGGCTGTATGAGTGTCATGTGACATTCAGGGAAATGTGAGCAGACAGTAGATTGTCTGCCATGTGTTCGGCAGGTCATGTGCCCGTGGAGGGCGTCCTGTCTCCCATCCTCACTGATGGCTCCTCACACGCCTGCCCCTCCTGTCTGCTCTCTGGGACGAACATGGGGATTCAAACAACAAGGGCCTGGGCCTGGGCTCATTCATCTTTTATCCCATGCTTATCACCTCCTCCCGAGAGATAAAGGAGGATGGAGCAGTACACGGATGAGCGCTGGGGAAATTGTAAATATTAACTGTGCTCCTACTTCAACCAGGAATGGCGCCCCGCTCTGGTTGAGAGGAGATTGCACCTGACTGTTGCACGTGACTGGATTCAGGCTCTCTGAGCTCAGGTGAGTTGGTTTGGTCTGACAGGTGGGAACACAGAGGCAGAGGCAGAGGCCACATCTAGTCTCCCTCCAGCTGACGGGCATGAAGAGGCCTGAAGGTCAAAGTCTGCCTGAAAGCTGAGAACATGTGCTTTGGACAACGTGTTTCTCAAACTGGGTGATTTGGCACCCCCGGGGGCTGATTGGAGACGTCAGGGGGTGTTTCCCTGGGTGAGAGCCTAGAGAAGAGGGTGCTGCTGCCTCTCCCAGGTGGGGCCCAGAGGAAGCTTCCAGAAGTCCCACATGGGCAGAGCAGCCCCCTCCCAGGCCTCGCCCCCACCCCATTCAGAAGTGCACAGGCCCAGCTGCCCCCAAGAGGGACTGCACAGGACAAAGGGCGCCATTCCTCAGGTCAGGGGGAGAATGAATGACACAGAGGGCCTCAGAGCCTCCATCTCAGCACAGGCCTTCCAGCAGGAGGCAGCAGAGAGCGCCCCCTGGAGGGGCAGGTGAAGCCAGCCCCAGGGTGGAGGCTCTGGAGGTTTTTGTCTCACTTCCCTATGGGCCTGAATCACTGTGCTAAAGCAGACTGACAGAAGTAGTCGGCCTCATCCTCGGGCTGCAGCCCCGAGATGGTCAGGTGGGCGGCATTGGAGGAGCTGTCGATGGAGCCAGAGAACCGGCCTGGGACCCCGGAGGGTCTTTGGTCATCTTCATAGATCACCAGGGTGGGGGCACTGCCTGGGCGCTGCTGGTACCAGTGCACATAGTTGCTTCCAATGTTGCCGCTGCTGCGGGTGCAGGAGATGACGGCCTTCTGTCCCGGAGACCCCGACATGGAGGGTGGCTGAGTAAACACAACATCTGCCCAGGACCCTGCAAGGAGGGGGACACAGGCATCAGAAGGGCCGGCACAGACCCGGGCCCAGGAAGGGAGGTCAGGGGAAGCTCCCAGGAGACACACCTGTGCAGTGAGCCAGGAGGGCGAGGAGAAGGGGAGCCAGCTCCATGGTGGATGCGCCCCACACTCTGCTTCCTGAGCCCACAGCCAGGCCTGAGCCCGCACCTTCTTATAGGCCTGACCCCGAGGGGGAGGCCAATGCAAATCCTCTCCCCCCTTTTCCCGCCCTGTCTGCAGCTGCTCAGGCTCCTCCTTCACACTTGGCCTTCTTTCCACCAGAGAAGAGATGGAGATGGGACCTCATTGCACAGAAGACCTGCCTGAGGCTGGGGGCGGGGCGGGGAGGGGCACAGCTGAGCAGCAGGGAGCAGCCAGCAGGGGCTTCCACCACAGCGTCCCCTGGGGCCCCAGGGCGCATGGCAGACCTTTGGGAGGGAAAGGAGCCTAAGGAGGAGAGGGGTGCAGGCCAGGCACCCACCATGGGCCCAGAGTGTCCTGGGCAGCTATTTCCCTCCCAAACCCCACGCTGGCAGCCATGCCAATGACGGGATGGACACGGAGGTCTGGGCCCAAATCCTGTGGCCGTACCTCTCACTGCGGGAGGTTCGGGGACCTGGACTCCGTCTGTGGGTGGAGGGGGCACACAGGTGTCCCCCTGTCTCCTGGGAGCCGGCTGGGAGGGGCATGGATGTGGGCTCACTGCTTGGGAGGCCCTGGAAGGCCAGGAGCAGAGGGGTCCAGGCCATGGTGCTCACAGCCATTCTGGGTCCCCTGAGCTGGGCCGGGGGCGCCACAGGCATCTCTTATGGGCTCCAGTGACCTCAAGGGCGGGGGCTGGTCTGGGAAATCTGTTTCGGGTCCTTGATGTCTTTGCCCCACCTGACGGGCCAGCTGAGGGCTGCAGCTAAGCTCTGTGGACAGAGGGGGCTGATGGGTGTTGCTCAGAGTTGGCCCCCAGGGAGGGTCTAGGAAGGAAGCATCTGCTGGCACCTTCCACAGACCTGTGAGCAGGAGACTCTGTCCAACCCACAGAGTTCACAGCCGCTGGTTCCCCGTCGGCAAACACAGGCCCCGGGGCCCCCCCGCCGGGGAACAGCTGGGCGATTTCACAGCACCGCCTGACCTCTGTGCCCACGCTGGGTGAGAGCCACAGCCCCGCCTGCTGGCCATGGGCAGAACTTCAGCTTCTCGGTGGAGATAACGGCCATGGCATTGGCCTGGGAGTCTGGTTATTGTCATTCCAGACACATCTGTGGACCATGTCGTTTACTGCCCCGGGGTCACTGACATTGACACACATCCTTTACCACGGAGGTGTTTCTAGATGTCTAGGCAAAAGGGAGGTGGAGATAATGACCAGCATGCAGTGCGGCCACGGCTGCGGTGAGGCGGGCGTGCAGAGGGCTCTGGGAACAGAGACCTGAGCAGCTCAGGCCACGGGCAGGAGGGGACGGTGACCTGTATGGAGACGGGTGGCCCTGCCGGTGGACAAATCAAGAAAAACAAGGCGGTGGAGCGAGGTGGTCAGAGAGAGAGAGACATCAAATCCTGGAGAGCAAGCACGCCACACTCCCGGCCCGCGGGCCACATGCCTGGTTTACCTGCCCCGTGTTCGCCTCTGAGTTCAGCACGTTTGGTGTAGGGTCTTGGGAATTGGCAAAACTCCCGGCAGGGTCAGAAAAATGCAGGGAACCTGCCGGGAACTGGCGCGTGAGAGTTCACTGGAGCCCAACGGGTGACGATTTCGGGAGGTGAGGTTGCAAGTGCTTCCCAGAGCACACAGTGCTGCCGTTCCCCTTACGCTTTTGAGATGAAAGAGGGACGGAAGGAAGATCACACAAAGCGGGAGCGAGCGAGCATGGGTATGGGGTTACCAGACAGGTGAGGTTACCCCTCTCTCCAGGGCGGGAGAAAGATGGGTCTGAAAAGAGGCATCTTACAAGTGTCTCCACCTCAAGGCCCAGAAACAACGGACAATGAAGAGGACTTGCTTAAGGCAAAGATAATTCATATATATATATATATATATATATATATATATTATTGATTTTTACAGAGAGGAAGAGAGAGGGATAGAGCCAAAAACAACGATGAGAGAGAAACCTCCATCAGCTGCCTCCTGCACACCCCCCTACTGGGGATGTGCCCACAACCAAGGTACATGCCCTTGACTGGAATCGAACCTGGGACCCTTCGGTCTGCAGGTCGACGCTCTATCCACTGAGCCAACTGGGTAGGGCTGTGTTTCTTTGTTGCTGCTCCTCCTCATACAGGGTGCCCTGGCACCCTGGCACCCTGACACCCACTATGAGTCAGCTCATCCCGGGCACAGGATCCTAACTGATCGGCATGATGACCATGTCCCATCTTGTGAACACGGGGAGCTAGGTATTCAGAAAGGAAGGGAGCAGAGGGAATCAGACATCACGTCTAACAGAGCAACGAGCTGAATGGGACAATAAGCTGCCTCACCAGGACTCGGCAGCATTCGGAGGCTCCTCCCACGAGACCGCTGCATTAGGACAATCTCGGAAGCGGGCAGGGAGGGTCATTACAGGTTTTCGCCGGGGGAGAAATAAGAAGGGCGGGAGGAATTCCACTGATGGGCTCAGGCCCCGGAGAAACCAAGATGGCACAGGAAAGGTGCTTCTGCTGTTAAGCAAATGCAGGCGTGACCACAGAGTCCTGTCTGTCCTTCCCTCGGTTTATCTCTTTCCTTACACCTTTTCATGCTGTGTCATAGGAAGCCAATTTATTTTAGTTTTTAAAATATATTTTATTGATTTTTTTTTTTTTTACAGAGAGGAAGGGAGAGGAATAGAGAGTTATTAATAGAAACATTGATGAGAGAGAAACATCCATCAGCTGCCTCTTGCACACCCCCCACCGGGGATGTGCCCACGACCAAGGTACATGCCCTTGACTGAAATCAAACCCAGGACCCTTTAATCCGCAGGCCAACGCTCTATCCACTGAGCCACACCGGTCAGGGCAGGAAGCCAATTTAGATTTCTTCCAGGACAATATGGCCTTTGGGACCCATGGGTTGCATAATTAACTTTATTTTTTTTAAATATTTTTTTGTATTGATTTCAGAGAGGAAGGGAGAGAAAGAAGGTGAGAGAGAGAGAGAGAGAGCTATAAACATCCATGATGAGAGAATCAGGGATCGGCTGCCTCCTGCACGCCCCTTGCTGGGGATCGAGCCCACAACCTGGGCACATGCCCGGACCGGGAATGGAACCGTGACCTCCTGGTTCATAGGTGGATGCTCAAGCACCGGGCAGTTTCACTTTCAAAGGTTGTAATTCCTTGGTCAGGAATCTTATCTGATCTGTAAGGGACTCTTACCTCCTGTCCCTCCTGATTCTTTTCTGGCCCTTTCACCTCTGTCCTCCTCCCCGTTCTTGCCCCCCGTCATCGCTCCCTCATCCTCACCCCACCTGGTCCCATCTTTTTGGGGACCCTGCCTTTCCACGCAGGGAGCACCGCATGCTGCACCTCCAGCCCTCGCCCTCATCCCCGCACTCCATCCGACCAGCACGGTCGGCTGGAGGGCCGGAGAGCATCCGAGGGAAGGTGTAAAGGTCCCGTGCCCAGGAGCCACTGCTGATAGCGCGCCCCACCTGCTCAGGCTGATCATTAACCCAGAGCTCATATAAGGAGAGGGCCCTCCCGGCCATGGGGACGCACCGCCCGCAGCCATGGCCAGCACCGTGAGCCCCAGTCCCGCGACCGGGACCCCGGGTCCCCCCGAGATGTCGGAGCGCATCCGGAACGCGGCCGACATCTCCGTCATCGTCATCTACTTCGTGGTGGTGATGGCCGTGGGGCTGTGGGTACGTAGGAGCCCAGTGGGGGGGTTTGGGGTGGACGCATGGCTTGGGGCCAAGCATCTGAGGGACGGAAAAGTGACGACGCTGAGAGGACAGTCACATCTGTCCCAGATGTCACTGTCCGCCTCTCAGAATCATTTTCTTTCTTTCTTTAAAAATATTTTTTATTGATTTCAGAGAGGCAGGGAGAGGGAGAGATAGAAACAACCATGATGAGAGAGAATCATTGGTTGGCTGCCTCCTGCATGTCCCCCACTGGGGATTGAGCCTGCAATCCAAGCACATGCCCTTGGCTGGAATTGAACCTGGGACCCCTTCAGTCTGCAGGCCAAGGCTTTATCCACGGAGCCACACCAGCCAGGGCAGAACCATTTTCTTGGATGCGACATCGATAATGCGGACACTGGCTTTCTTTCTTTTACTCACCCCATCCTGTGCACGGAGCCAGCCCTGGGAGCTCCAGGCTTACCTGCTCAGTATCTCCAGCACAAGCAGATTGAATAAGGGCATTGTTTTTTAATATATATGTATAAATTTCAGAGAGGAAGGGAGAGGGAAAGAGAGAGAAACATCAGTGATGAGAGAGAATCAATCATGGATCGGCTGCCTCCTGCACGCCCCCTACTGGGGTGGAGCCCACAACGCAGGCCTGTGCCCTGACCGGCAGTGGAACGGTGACCTCCTGGTTCCTACGTCAATGCTCGACCCCTGAGCCACACTGCGGGGGCGACCTTGTTTTTCTTATCTCTCTTCTCTTTTGCCCTTCGTTATTTTCGCACTTTCTGCCGTGGTTGAGTTGGACGCTTAATTCGCTGGTGCTCCTTCTCCCTTTTGGTAACGGCTGGGAGGCCACAGGTTCAGAGGCCCCTCCCTCACAGCGCTCCCTGCTTTGTATCGTGGGCGGAGTTACAGATACACCCCCCCCCCATTGTCTTCCCTCCGCGCAGGCCATGCTGAGGACCAACCGGGGCACCGTGGGGGGCTTCTTCCTGGCTGGCCGGGACATGGTCTGGTGGCCGGTGAGTGGGCACAGCTCCCGGGAGATGAACTCTGTGTGAGTGTGTGTCTGTGTGTGTGTGTGAGTGTGTGAGTGTGTATGTGTGTGTGTGTCTGTGTGTGTGTGAGTGTGTGTGTGTGTGAGTGTGTGTGTGTATATGTGTGAGTGTGTGTATGTAAGTGTGTGTATGTGTGTGAGTGTGTGTGTGAGTGTGTGTGTGTATATGTGTGAGTGTGTGTGTGTAAGTGTGTGTATGTGTGTGAGTGTGAGTGTGTG